AGTAGAGAAGGTGTTCCAAGCTCTACGCGCTGGTCTGGCTGCTCGCCCTGTGTTCCCGACTGCCCCTCTTCACGCGGTGGTAGTAGAGAAGGTGGTTCAAGCTCCTCGCTCTGGTCTGGTTGGTCGCCCCGTGTTCCCGACTCCCCCTCTTCACGCGGTGGTAGTAGAGAAGGTGTTTCAAGCTCCTCGCTCTGGTCTGGCTTTGGATTAGTGTCCTCAACTTCCAAGGGATCAAGCAGCCCATCATCATCCGGCGGTCTCTTTCCACTATAGGACTTGACGAACTCCTTCGGAAGCGTGTACTTGCCCACCAGGAGATAACGTAGGCCCTTCCCTTGAGTAACGTCCAAGCCAGGCTTCACCGGCCCTGCTATGTCCACCGTCAGTGAGAACATCTCCGGGTGATGAACACGGGCGTGGCGACGTCCTGTGCCACGGGACAAAACGCATGTCAAGCATTCCCTGTTGTAGTCGAGGTGGTTACTGTCCACGTGGCGTTTCCACTGAGCTGGTGACATAGGGCACAATCGTGGGGTAGTCGCTGGTAGTCTCCGCCAGAAATTCAAGGCCAGCACCACCGCCTTCACCAATCCAGACGACCATACACCACTTAGGTCTCGCTGCTCCTCGTCGTCACTTCCGCCCTCGCCTTCTCCATGTAGGCCCTGGAGGTAGTAGATGTTGGTTCCCAAGGTAGTAGGTGACGATCCCGCGGCCCCCGTAGCCCTTTGATCGAACTTCACCTCCGTCATGTCGTACTCCTCCTTGAAAGCTTCCCACATTGAAGTCTCCCACAAGGATCTCCTCCTTGCCCCTTGCACCCGTGCATCCTGTGACGGATGTTCCATCATGAATGCCACTGGGCGTCCTCGATCTGCTCCGCGGGCGCTCAGGTTTCGCCCTTCTTCAGCCACCACATGTAGCCACATCATCTTCGTGACCGCCTTCAGGGACTTGTTGTCCCACTCCACAGCGCCTCGGCGCTCCGTTCCCAGGCACGCTCGGCCCGGTGGTCCTCCAACTATCGCTTCTATCCGTCCTTGCATTGCGCCCCACAACAACCACCTCCATGTAGAAGCCCTTTCCACGTCGTGAGCACGGTTTCTTTGAAGGTCCAGCTCGACCACAACTGTATCGCCTTCATCCAGCTGGTACATCTGGAAGTGCCCGGGGGATCCCGCGTATAGGTGAATTATCCACCTCCTTGCCGACCATAGCCTTCTCCTCTGGGGTCTTGTGAGATGCTCGATGTTCTTGAAGACCTTCCAGCCGTCCCTCAGCACGTCTCCCTGAACGAGCCCATCCACGCAGCTCCCCGGGAGCTCTGACAGTATCGGACAGTCCCTGATCGCACGCAGGCCTGCTTCCATTCCACCATCGGCGACATAAGACCTGAGGTAGGTTCTCCAGGACTTGTCCATCATCATCTCGGTTGCTTCGATGGTGTCTTGAGTTGCCGTCGTGGCGTTCTCCAGCATTTCGCGCTTTCGATCCTCCAATCTGGAGATTAAGGCCAAAGCTTCAGCCTCCTTTAACAGTGGACAACCTCCACATACTCCGAGAGACCTAGCCACCCCATCCGGATCTATGAGGAAGCATCCACGCTGGGACCAATCCAAAGAATAGCCCAGCGTCTTCACAAGGTCACCGAGGGGAACGATAGTTTGTCCTCCCAGGTCTCGAGCAGTGCTCGCTGTAGCAGGCATCCTGGGCGGCATTAACAATGACCCTCCAGCACTCAACCTCATAGTCAAAGAGTTATTTCCCGCCAACTGAACCACCACTTCATCCGCCTCCAGCCACTCTCTCTCATCATGCGCGTTCCTCAAACAGTGAGTGGCTCCTGAGTCCAGTAGTGCCGTAGTCGATCGGTCCATTGCTGAAACCCGAACGTCCCTCAGGCTCAATACTCTCACCTCCGCTTTGGTCTTTTCCGGTGAGCTGTCGCCCTCCTGGGGCGACTGCGAAGTGATCACCTGCTGGGCGGCCTGGAAGAGTGTCTCAAGTGTCCACGGCGTGCCTTGCACAGGCGCTGATCCTGCTGAGGTAGCCGTTGACATAGTCGCTAAACTCGGAGGAGGTTTCGTAGGCGGCGGTTGCGACTTATCCGGGCCGGGTCGTTGTCCTGGTTTGCCTACATTGCAGTCTCGGGCACGGTGGCTTTCGCTTCCGCACTTTAAGCATTTGCGGGACCTCACGTCCTTGTCCATCCCGCTCATAGAGTGGCTGTAGACGCACCGATCTCCCCTTTTGCATCCACTCGGCTTTGCAAAGTATCTGCACAGCTCTTGGCTCTTTTCACGAACCTTAGGCCGTTTCGGAGATGTAGTAGGCGACGTCCCATCCACTGCCCGCAGAGCCGCCCCCGTCGTAGGCAAAGATGTAGTCCGCTGGGAACCTACAATCGCCTCCAGCTCCGCCTGCAAATGCTTCTGGTATCCCTGCACTTGTTCCAGCGTAGGCTGCCCATCTAGCCGGTAGTTTGACCTCAACATGCTTGTTCTGAACGACGCGTCGGTCGATGCGCCAATCGGCTTGGCCGTAAGGGCCTGTAAGCCCCGACTCATCACCAAAGGATCGGGGGGAGTCATCCCCATCATCTGGCACCGACTCAACCATCGAGGCCAACTCCTGACCTCAGCCAGGACAGCTTCCACACTCTCACCCACGAGGTAGTCCTGGGGTGACTGCAGCCGCTTCAACACTTCCTGTCTCTCGGCGGAACCTCCTGGTTGAAACCAAACGAACAGTCGGAACAACATAGCCGGGGCCCGCTGCGTCAGCTGCTGTGCCACCATGTCGCCCTTGATCTCCGGTGACATAGCTCCCAACAGCATTGTACACGCCCGCGCATTCATTCTGCTCCATGGGTCACCACAAAGCTCATCCATCCCTTCCGGGCTGATCGTCAGTCTCTCCAAATGAGAGGCAGCCAACCATCGACTGTAGGCTGCGCGAACCACCATCAACACTGCATTCCACCACTGGCCCGACTTCTCGCTCACATCCGTCATTGCTGTGGTAGTGATCTCCAACCAATCGTTGAATCGCAGCGATGCCTCTGCCCCCCCTTTGTGGTCGGGGAGCTGAGTAAGGCTGGTAGTTCCCGCCTTCAGCGCCTCAGTCCCACCCGTGCTGGTGCCCTTGGTCAATGCCTGAGCCTGTAGCTGTTGAAGTTGTTGCATTCCACGAGCTATTGCCTCCAGCATCGGAGACTCGGCCTGCGAGGTTTGCCCCTGAGGCGGTGGCGAAGGTGTGCGAGCTCTTCCGCCTCCAAGCAATCAATGATCGCAGAAGACCTCGAGGTTCGGGTGGATTCTCTGGGCTAGGTGACATTCTCATAGCAGACCCTGAGCTTGCTTGAGGGTTTCCAAGACCTGGTGGTAGTGGAGAAGGTTCTCGTCGCACTCCAGGATAGCCTAACTGACTAGTTGGACCCAGGGGAGCTGTAGCAAGATCACCTAACAATCTGCCGCGACCTGATTGCCCTCCGGAGCTTGCTGGAGCTGCTGCGGGATCACTCAATAGCCCGCCGGGACCTGATTGCCCTCCGAAGCCTGATGGAGCTGCTGCAGGATCACTCAATAGCCCGCCAGGACCTGATTGCCCTCCGAAGCCTGATGGAGCTGCTGCAGGATCACTCAATAGCCCGCCGGGACCTGATTGCCCTCCGAAGAGCTGCTGACTCAATAGCCCGCCGGGACCTGATTGCCCTCCGAAGCCTAAGGGAGCTGCTGCAGGATCACTCAATAGCCCGCCGGGACCTGATTGCCCTCCGAAGCCTAAGGGAGCTGCTGCAGGATCACTCAATAGCCCGCCGGGACCTGATTGTCCTCCAGGAAATGCTGGGGTTGACATGTATGGATACCCTGGAGGCAGCGTGGGGGCCGTCCTCAGTGCATCCCGACTTCTCCGGACTTCATCCAACTCACGCTGCAACTGTTGGTTACGGCCCTCCGACTCCTCCAGCAACGCCCGAATCCCAGAAAGCTGTCTCTGCACCTCCTGTTGTATTGCTTCTGCAGGCACTGAGCTCGAAGGAGGACTACTTGGTCGTGGCAAGGTCAAAGGTCTTGCCCGTTGTGGAGATCTCAGTACGAAAGACCTTCCACCAGGAGGCGTCTCTCCAGTGAGAGGACTCGGAGCCAGCTGATCGTGGCCCACCGCAAGGTACGAACCCAAACGACTCATCCATCGTGGCAATCCCTCCACGACGCCCATCCAGTTGTTCTGGGGGGCCATTCCGGTTCCCCGTGAACGCGGGGTAAAGTAATCATAAGCAGCCGTCGACTCCTCACCAGTCGCCGCTATTCCAGCTCCAGGTCTGCCACCCATGTCAGGAATCGTGGGTGGCATCATTGCCTCCCCCTGGCCCAGCGTGGCTGTGGCCTCCATTGAAGCCGGTGGTCGACTCGCAGAAGTCGCCGGAGCATCCAGGGGCTGAGACACCTCCGGACTGACCGGAGGCTCATGTCCAGCGCTCGTTCCCTCCGCTCTCGGGGCTGCATCACCGGTGGATCCACGTCCACCATCATGGCCGCTTCTTTGCGGCCCTTCTGTCCCATTCAGTCGCGCAGTCGGCTGAGCTTGGGCGCTCATAACCTGCTGATGCAGAACTGCATCACTCGAATTGTAGGCGGCCATGACTTCAAATGCAAGCGCACACCTTTTTTCGCTATACTCCAAGATCTGTGACTGCAAAGTCTGGGCATAGTTAGGTGTACAAGATGCTATGCCTCGTTGTCTTTGCTACAGCTCTTACAGGCTGTACGTGTAAAAATGCTGTTCGCATGGTGACCCAAGGGGAACATACCGCAGCCTTCCCTTGATCACACATGTATGCAGACAATTCGCTCAAGCTGCTAACTGCACACATCGGACATCTCAACTGGTTGGGACTCGCCGCATCAACATAATCCTAAACCCAGAAACTAACCCTGAACCCCAAAAATCCGGAACCCGAAAACCCAAAACCCTAAGACTGTCGAAGCACGAGGCACACAACAACGCCGGCGGAATTTTCGCAGGCATCTTTGGCAGGGCCTCTAGTTTGCAAAGCGCGGGGCTTAACCGTAAACCCTTGACCCTAAACGCTTTAGGGTCAAGGGCTGAGGGGTTTAGACTTCTAGGGTTTGGGGTCGTATTTATACATTACTGGAACTAAACCCAAGGAACCCTAAAACGACTATGACCAATTATTCAGGACCGTAGCTAAACTCGCAACAGCTAACCCCAGACCCTGAATCTCAATCCAGGACACCCTGCTGTCCACTCAACACATCTCGGCCAAAGCCTAAAAATCACATGAAGATGCACGCCCTCTACAGTGCTTGGACAGCATCATTCCACCTCTGAGTACTTCCACCTACTAGTGGTGGTTGCCGTGTCTTTGCACGTTCGTAGGCAAATCTCCACACTTCGTCTTGTGACAAACACAAATCCGCTCGAATGCAAAACCCGAAATCCAAAATCCCTATAAACCAAAAAAAACTTTACGCCCTGAACCCCGAACCTTGAACCCACACCCTAAACTCCCATAATCTGTGGTAATTAAATAAGACACCAAAACCCTGATAACACATGGACAAAGCACACCAAAAAAAACTGTAGAAAAACCCAAAGCTCCAATTTGAACCCTAAATCCCAGTACCCTAAATTGTCCCTAAACCCTGAACTCTAACACCCCGACTCCCTGAACCTTAAGCCCTACTAAACCCTAAACCCCGAAACCCTAAATCCCGAAACCCTGTAGATCCCTTTTAGAAGGCCAATAAAAAAAAACCTACAGATCCCTTTAACGGAACCCAAGAATCCCCTAAACCCTACACCCCGAAACCCTAAACCCTAAACCCGACTAAACCCTAAACCCGAAACCCCACCCCGACCCCTAAACCCCCAAAACCCCAAAACCCCTAAACTCCGAAACCCCAGACCCTGATAGTACCCCTATAGTAACCCCTGTAGATCCCTTAAAGGGACCCTAGGCCCTACTAAACCCCGAAACCCCCGAAACCTTCGGGGCCCTTGCGGTGGCCCCGGCGTAAGGAGGAGCTCGCGCCGCTCCTCGGCTCTGGGCCGCGGTTTAGGGTTTAGGGTTTAGGGTTTAGGGTTTAGGGTTTAGGGTGTCGCGAGTTCTTTTTTTTCGCGAAGAGGGTTTAGGGGGTTCCTTTAAAGGAACTATAAGGGCCCCATAAGGTACTATAGGGGTTCAGGGGTCTACAGGTTTAGGGGTTTAGGGATTTAGGGGTTTAGGGGGTTTAGGGTTTGGGGTTCAGGGTTTAAGGTTTAGACGGGTTTAGGGGTTTAGGGGTTTAGGGCTTTGGTGAAGAGGATTTACGGTTCAGGGCTTTAGGGTTTAGAGTTTGGGTTTGGGGCTTTAGGGTTTAGGGGAGGTTTGGAGTTGGGGCTGTAGGGTTGAGGGTTTAGGACCCCCCGAGATGATTTTGAGAACAAAGCTACCATTGTGCTATCCCTTAGAAGCTGCCCCCCTGTCATAGTGGTATAATGGGAATATAATAGGGCCCTAATATAATCCTATATAATCCTTATAGTCACTATTACAGGGTGGGGGCAGCTTCTAAGCTATCCCCGAGCTCGTTAAGGCTTAGGGCTTAGAGGCAACGCAAACAGCTGATTAGAAATCCCGGTACCTCAAAAAGAGATTGTTATACTGGAGGTTCCAAAATATGGCCCCTAACCCTAAACCCTAAACCCTACACCGTGGAGAAGACAGAGGTCTACCGATCAGGGGTTTACATTTTACGCAAGTTGCGAGCTCCCATGTTAACACTTGAGAGGGCTCTCTGCGCGGTCCAATGATTATTGTAAGGGCTTCTACGGGTTTCTAAAACGGGCCTTCGGGGTTTAGGCTTCATAGTGTTCAGGTGGAGGGTTTGAGACAGCCCGTTTGAGTGTTGAGGGTTTCGGCGTTCGGGGTATGTAGGGTTCTATTAAGCTTTGTCTCTACTTGTTCGAAGGATCCCAAAAACGGGACCCAGGTCTCTTCAAACCCTAAGAATAGTATTGTGACTGTGACTTTTCGGCAATCATCGTCTAAACCTTGTGGAACCTCGGTTCAGAGTTCTGCGAATGAGGAGAGACAATCCACTGCAGCTCGGGGCTTGATGCTTTGCAGAGAGCGTTAGAAGGGTCTTAACAAACCCTTGCAGGATTCTGGCTTAGGGCTTATGGCTTGGGGTTTAGGGCCTTAGGTGTGTAGCTCAAGGCCTAAACCAGTGCTTCAAGCCTGAGTTCCGGGTTCTTTTCTTGGCTTTGCAAACGAGGCTTCATCAGTGGTGTTGTTTTACCCTGAACCGTAAACCCTAAACCCTATAAGAGCTAGGATTCAAGGTCCCGAAACCCGGTAAAAGCTAGGATTCAGGGTCCCTAAACCCTAAACCCTAGAAGGGCTAGGATTCAGGGTGTAAGGCTCAACCCTTCCACCCCAACCCTGAACACCGGTAAGCTCCGAGGCCAAAAATGTGTCGACCCTAAACCCTAAACCCAAAACCCAAGACCCAAAACCCTAAACCCAAAACCCTAAACCCTGGGTTTAGGATTTAGGGCAGTCTCCTGTCCTTCGGCACTGGGCCTAAGGTGTGCCGAGGCTTCCGGGCACACGGATCGGTGTTGAAGGATCAAGAGACTCGAAGAGGCAATTAGAGTAACTCCTTAAAGGGATCTATAGGGTTTAGGGTCTGGGTCTACTTAAAGGATCATGGGACTTAGTATCTACTTATGACCGCAACTTAGATATTGAAATGTCTACTAACACGTACCATGCAGCTCTACAAAAGCGCCCAAAAAAAAACAATCTAAATCTTACAAAAACTCTAAATCCTAAACGGGGAAAAACGCAGACTCCACACACTCCTTCCAGCAGACCCGCCGAAGAGGGTCTTCCTCGGCCCGGTGGAAACAACGCCTCAGCATGAAACACCCTAAACCCCATCAAACCTTAACCATAAACCCTAAACCTGCAACAGGCTTTAGGGTCTAGAGTTTTGACAATGTTCTTAGAGGAACATATAGGTACAAGGGCTATTTCAGGATTTAATGGGGATACATGCGGGTCAGTAAGGGTCATATGGTGGACTTAGGCCCTAACCCCAGACGACAAACAGCAACGAAACGAGCAAATACAGGAATCGGACACTTAGTAGCATTGTTGCTTGAGGCTTCCCATATGGTACTCTTTGAGGGTCCATATTTTTCTTATTGCAACATAATACCCAAAACGCCCTTAAACCCTAAACCCTGAGCCCAAAACCCTCTTCTAATCATGCCAGACCATATGAACCCTCTACCCAGCTTCCCGAGTATCAGTAAAAAGTATACTTAGAGGATCATGGGACTTAGTAGCTAGGGTTCCTTAAAGGGCTCCTTAAAGGGATCTAGAGGGTTCCTTCCAGGGATCTATAGGGTTTTGGGTCTACTTAGAGGATCATGGGACTGAGTAACTAGGGTTATAATTGCGGTAACTATACTTGTAATCACTTACAACCCCACTTAAGGTACCATACTTACTAAGTCCCATGATCATACAAGTATATTGACCCCCGAAAGGCCATAACCCGGCCGATGTAAGGCGAAAAATCCCTGCTTGCTTGGTTTTCTGATCCTTTGTGAAGACATTTTGCATCTCGGCGGCATGGCTTGTATGAAGGAGCTTAAAGCTTAGAGCCTTTGTTTCGGGTTTAGCGCTTTAGGGCTTAGGGTGCAGTGTCTAGCGTTGGGGGTTTTGGCTTCAGGACTGTATAAGGGTTCAGGGTGCAAGGTTAAGGGACGCATTTACGCTGCATCAAGCCAAATACCCAGTAATATGCGAAGCGTTGCGTACTCCTTGTGTATAACGCTGGAGCAAGTCCATCAACATCCAGCCACGAAAGGTGGAGGCAAGGTTTAAAGGGAACTCCACAAAGTTGGAATATGGGTTCAGGGTAGGATACCTTATAATTTACCATAAAGGGTTTAGGATAATCATATTCCAACTTTCTGGCTTTTAATTTAGGGTACAAAGTTTAGGATTCCCAGTTCCGGGGTGCAGGCTGCCGAGTAACGCTGCAGGCTTACTTCTGTTGATGGTATAAATCCTGCATTACCCATAATCGGAGTATACCGTTATTCCCATAGTTTAGGGTCCTTAAGGTAATGCACGATTTATATCATCAACCGTTCAAAGATCAGTTGACCAAGTGCTTGCAAGTAGGTATGAAAGCAAGTCACAGCTAGGATAGCTGCGGCTTCGGGCTCTGAACTCATGGAAATAGGTGATCGTAGGGCTGATGCGATCAGCGATCTCCATCCTTGCACCTAGACCGTGAAAAGTCACGGAAGAAACGATTGTCCTGAAGACTCACCCTAAACCCCAAACCCTAAACCCTAAACCCTAAACCCTTAAACCCTAAACCCTAAACCCTAAACCCCAAACCCTAAACCCTAAACCCCAAACCATGAAACCCACTCCGGAGTTCCAAGACCTAAGTCTCCAGGCCCAGACCCCCTAACCCTCTCGAAAACTCTTAGGGTTTGGGGCTTAGGGTTTTTTTTGGGGGTTTAGGGTTTAGGGTTTAGGGTTTAGGATTTAGGGTTTGGGGTTTAAGGTTTAGGGTCTAGGGTTTGGGGTTTAGGGTTTAGGGTTTGGGGTTTAGGGTTTAGTGTTTCGGGGCTTGGGCCAATCATTCCACAGCACCCGAGCGCAGCCGTGGAAGCGCCACATCCATGATTTGGGAGTTTCCGAAAATAGGAAAACCCTATATGGTAACCTAAAGAGTAGGATCCTTATTACAAGGAGGTACCCCTAATTTTCGGAAACTCCCATTTAATTGTCTTCGACCCGGCTATCCTTTTACGCCTACACTGGGTTTCGGCTCGGGGGCTTCGGGGTTTTGGGAGGTTTAGAGGGTTTGGGGGTGTAGGTGGGTTAGAGGTTTAGGGGTTTAGGCTAGAAGCACCCTGTAATAGTGACTATAAGGATTATATTTGGGCCCGATTATCTTCCTATTATACCACTATTGCAGAGGTTTGGCTACCCATGAGCCCCGTGCAGCTACAAATCGGCCTTGAAGTGGCCATGGCCATATGCTCCACGCTATGTGAGCGGTTCATGCGAACCGGTTGCAGAATTCTGGCAGATCGCATCAAGGCAAGAGTTTGGGCATAGGGATTGAATGATAAATCGACAACCCTCTGAAAATTCTGTGAGCACGCCTCATCCATGCACCCACCAAAAGTCTACATACCAAGCCCCCCAAGCCGCGCTGAAGACCATTTCAGAGGAGGATCCTTTAGCAAGCCGGCTTCTAGAAGGGTCCATTTTGGAGTTTAGGGTTTAGGGTTTAGTAGGGTTTAGGGTTTTTGTTTAAAGGGTTTAGGGCTTTTCTTTTAAAAAGGGTTCAGGGTTCGAGGGTCTAGGTTTTAGAGTTTGAGGGTCTGTGGTTTTAGGGCCCCTTCAAGCGTTCAAGACGGGTCACGTTAAGGGTTCCATGAGAGTTCTGCTAAGGATTCTCGGAGGCTTCTATAAGGGTTGTACGAGGGTTGCATGAGGGTTCTAGAAGGGTTCTACGAAGGTATTGATTACAAGGCTTAGACGATGTTTATAGAAGTCTTACATGGCTTTTACGAGGTAGGCTACAAACAGGCACCTAAGCAAGCTGTTGAAAGCTACCCGACCCTACTCCTTCCAGGGATATAGCTAGAATCCGCTCATATTTAGCGTTCTAAGGTTCGCGGTTTAGGTTGCAGGTCTTTAGGGTCAGGCTTCCTTGAATGGCTCCTGACCTGCACGGGATCGATGCAGGCTCGATAAAGGCGTGAGGGTTTAGGGTTTAGACGGGTTCGGGGTTTGTGAAGTCCTGGTGAATTTTGAAGCAAAAAAGCCCTTGAACTACTTACTATAGGGGCCTGAATAACTGCCAATACTGGTTGGGGGTTCCTTTCAAAGGGGTCTATGGGGGTTACTAAAAGGGGTATTATGGGGGTTGGTCCCGTCTTCAGGATTCACCGGCTTTAGGGTTTAGGGTTTAGGTTTAGGGTTTAGGGTTTAGGGTTTAGGGGTTTAGGGTTTAGGGGTTTAGGGTTTAGGGTTAAGGAGTTTCGGTCTAGAGTTCCTATAACGAGTCCTTTTGCTGTCGACTTTTATGCTTTCGGTGATGATTCGGCTCTTTGCGTTTGGTGCTTGGTGCTTGGTGTTTGGTGTAAGGTTATTTAGGGTTGTTGTGGGGTGAAAGAAGGGGTTATCGAGTGCTTTGGGTCTTAGAGGTTCAGTTTCAGCAGACAGAAGAGGTTCCAAGGGCTCTCAAAAGGCTTTCTACAAAGCAATTTAGGGGTTGGGATGTCTAGAAATTCGTCAGGGTTCGTTAGTATAACGATGGTATTAACATACCCCAAAAGCCAGCTCTAAGAACTTTACTAAGATTAAGGTTTAGGGTTTCGGACGTGTAGTCTGAATTTACCCTAGCATCATCGAAACAATAGGACCCTACCAAACAAGTAGGTTCTGGTAGGTTGACGTAGGGTTTCAGGCTGCTTTAGGTGGCCTCCCAAAACAAATGGACCAAAGATGCCGCACTCCGAACATGAGGGCCATCGTTTTTGCCGCCGCGCAGAGAGCCTAATGCATCTTGCAGCTTCGCATCTCCGTGCTCACTAGGTTCCTCGGTTTAGGACTTCGAAACCCTCTGAGGACGCGGTTTGCTCAAGGCCATAGGGGAGTTTTGCCCAGGCCCCGGCTGACACCGAAAGGGCACCAACACGCAAGTTCCCCATCCTCGAAAGTGGGGAAATCTGACGATGCAAGGAGGACTCCACAAGACACTGTTTGCCAAAGGCAACCAGGGAATCCCAGATACCGGCCACAAGAGGGGTTTCGTGACTGAGTTGGCGGCCATAGGAGTCTGAAAGCCCCGGCATCATGGCCAGGAAACACAATGCGGGCCTTTCAATTTCAATGCATGGACTCTGGGCCTAGGTGAATGAGGAATTCCTCAATAGCACAACTGGCTAGAAGTGCCGACCTCGGGAAGATGGGAAATCCAACATTCAAACCCTACCACTTCACTGCAGCGGGGTGAAATCGCCAGCATGCCCTCATGTAAATCGGAAGGGAAGGTATCGGCTCACAACTCAAGGTGCCCAGCTCTCGTGCTTTCCGCATCCCGGTCGATGGGTCAGAAGCCGTAGGGGACGGCGATCCGCGAACCCTGACCGACCGTTCATCCTCCTCGGCATGTTTTGGCTACCGGCCGTAGACCGGCTCCGCCTCTGCAGTCTGAGATGCGAATTGCAGGTCTTCCTCGCACCCGGCACGAAGCTGACAATGATAAGGGCCAGGGCCGCCAACAGCAAAAGGCATCAACCAACGGAGGCTGAGCATCCTCATCAGGTTCTGCATGCTCGGGCCGACTGCCTCACGGCAAGGTCTCAGGAGGTGGAGGTCGCTGGACCGCCTGAACCGACCGACACCGGTACGGGCTGTCTCGGATGCCTGGCACGGGGAGTCGCAATTTTTTGCTGGAAGGAACGCTTACACTGGTACGGATGCGCAGGACACTGCAGGTGATCCCAAGGCCAAGATAGCCGTGCCACCAAGTGCCGGCCCGGCACACTTTACACGGCACTTTGCACATTCTGCAGCCTGGGCCGTTGAGACCTATCCGCTGAAGGTGCACTTCCTGAACTCATTACGATCCGATCCGCTGCGAAGTCGCAGTGTCTGCCTTGCGCAAGAACAGCAAACTGAGCATTATGGGGCTCAAAGCTGCTCCATTTGGGCCCCTGGTGCCCTTGCTGTACCCCCTGTGAGTTGTGAGGTTCATCAGGCCGACGTTTGGCTGTTGCACGCCGCAGCTGCCTCCTGCACAGCAAGCAGCTTCGCTGAAACGCCCTATCTCTGTTTTGTCACCAGTGCCCTGGAGCCCTGTTCAG